CTTTTCTGTAAATACTTTCATGGTAATTGTTCTGATAAACGTTCCTCTATAGTACCTAGACTTTATGAATTTAAGTGCAATACGAGATTGGGAGCAAAGTCTCATCATTTTACAGATGAAAATGGTTAGATGTAACCATAAGTTCTATGTTAACAGTTTCTTCTATCACACTTTTCACTTCCAGCTTCTTACTTCCCAGGCAATTTCAATCTTCATAAATTCAAATAAAATGTCAATCATTATCTTCTGTTTTCTTAATTCTTGTTCTTTTATTGTCCTCCTTCTGTAATAGTGGTTTTATTTTTTGCTCACATTCTCTAACACTCAGTAACCTCTTGCATCTTAGTGAGTTTATCTCTTTGATTGGGGTGAAATGATTAAAAAAAAAAAAAAAAAGATGGCTACCAGAGTGAAGTAAATATATACAAGCTGTGAGTAATATTTTTAATAACATAATTTTTTAAACAGAGTTTTAAAAAAAATATTTTCATTAAATTGGTAATTGAGTAATTTTATTCTGTTTAAAATCTACAATATTTATGAAAGAAGAGAACCCAGTATAAAGTACAGAGTATATGTAGATAAAAACCAATATTGTATAGGGATTGTAAGTTTCATGCCTTAAGTAATAGTCAGATCATGCAGTCTTGATTTCTATGTCCCTCCACACACACACACAGATGCACAGTGTTGGTCACGATATGATATTTTAATATTGTGATGATGAATTTTCCATTGTGGAAAATACCAAGTTTTATCATTTTTAGTCATCCATACGTCACTTACCATGCTGGAGGCGAAAATTGCTGCCATAGAATTCTTTCCCTTTGTTGCTCTAGGCGCATTACATTGACTTGAGATGGTTGCTAAATAAACAATTGTTAACTTATTTCAAGATGGAAATCACCTACTACTGCTTTGGAAGAAGGTTAAACTTCCTTTTTCCAATGCGATTTTGAATCATTGATTAAACTTATGTTCATTTTTCGTGTTTTTTTTGTAAACAAAAATGACTGCATCAATATCCAACAAAGCCTTTATTCAGGAGTTTAAGACTGATGATGATTTTGAAAACTTTACTCAAGTGGATAATGAAAGTGAAGTGGTCAAAGATGATAACCCTGTGTCACCACGAGGAAGAAGACATTGATGACCACTAGGCGGCTACTATCATCCATGCCTGACTTATTTTACTGGTGAACATTGATATACCTAATAGCCTTTCTGAAGATAAATTATTTTGTCTATTTATAAACAATGAAATAATAACTATTTGTCAACGATACAAATAAATGCTAGTCATGTGAGAGAAAGACCAAACAAATGCTAGTGTCTTCACGTATGTCAGTGTGAGGGAGCATGTCACTTTTTTGACAAAATGAAAGCCTTCTTAGCCATTTTGCTTCTTATTTCACCCCCACCAGAACTCCACAAGGAGTAATAAAAGTTAAAGTATGTTAAATTGTTAATTGTATTTTTGTTTTTTATTTTGTCTTTCAAATTTTTTTGTTTTCAACATCAAAACTGCATGCAAAACGTAATACATTGCATCAATATATTACTCATTCATTCTCTTATTAGTGTACAAAAAATTAAAATCTATATGCACAATACAAAGAAAGTTATAACAATTTTAAAACAGTAGATTTTTATGTTTTTGTGCCCTCAAAAAAAAAAAAAAAAAAAATGCAGTGGTAGGAGGTAATAATTCTGGTAAGAAATTAGCATGGAAATGGTTTTAATATGATGGTTTCATCAAGTGTGGATAAGAAAAGCTAACTCAACATCATCTTGACCTTTGAGCAGAGTTGGCAGAGTTTTTTGTATGTCTAGAGATTGGCTTATATGTATAACCAGTGTATATGTGTGCATGTATATTGAAGATATCACTGTTTAAGCACTCTCACCAGTGACTGAACAAGAACCTGCACCATTGACCCATCTTTTCTAAACAGTGATAATGGCATCAATTGCCAGGAAAATGCTGTCTGTGTCATCCATCTTTCATTGTCCCAAACAAATAAAAGTCAGAAGGCACCAAATCCAGAATATACTATGGATACGATAGGACAGTCCAGTCAGAATTGGCAATGGGATCATCCATGGTCTCTAAATTAATGTGTGATTTGACATCATTATGTTATAAAGCAATAAAAGAAAATATGAATTATTGACAGAAAGATTCACTACTGTCATCTCTCCCGTATTCTCCTGCGATGTTGTAGGCCAATGCAATAGATAGAAGGAATTACTTTTGGAGGAACCTGTATGCATTTGGATTTGAAATCATTATGAATAAAGCATGAGTCAGCTTTTATCAAAATCCCCACCCAGCTTGCCACCAGTCATAATCTACAATGTCAGAATATATCTTCCTTTCTGCTGCAACTTTCCTCTGCTGCAATTGTCCATGTAAATATCAGTATCTCAAGCATATCCAATATCCAACAGAAAAAGATAAGCATTTGGGTCTACGAAGAGAACTGACTACATGCCATGGAGTGAGACTGAGACATCAAACACTAAGAACATTTACTGTAGGAGTGAACAGGTAGCTCATCAGTTGTTCTCGTTTACTTTCTGCTCACCTGAGGAAATGTACTTAATCAATATATTTCAATATCTTCATAATCTGTGTAATGTCTTTCTCTTCATTTTCTTTGTTGAGAAAAGGCTAAGTATTCCTTTAAGCTTCTAAAAGCATAATTCCTTCCTCATGACTAAAACATGCATTTTTTCACAGAGATCAAGTGGAACAATTATGAATCAATTGTTAAGTCTGCTGCTAAAAAAAAGTTGGTTCATGGTGTTGTGCTAGTCAATTATTCTTTCCAGAATTTATCTTACACATTGTTCATCCATTGAATATTGCTACTGCTACATCTGGTCTGGTTCTTCTGCTATGTATTTAGAAATTCTTGATAAGATCCAAAAAATCTGCAATGTTATTGATCCTGATCTGGCATCTCGGCTTCAGTCACTTCCCCATTACCATAACTGTTTCACTGAGCCATTTATTTCTACATATATTTTCATGGTTATTGTTCAGATGAACTTTCCTCTTTGGTACCTGGACTTTATGAATTTAAGCACTGTACGAGATTGGTAGCTAGGTTTCATTTTATCATTGAAATTGCTAGATGCAACCATAAGTTCTATGTTAATACTTTCTTCTTTTTCACTTGTGGAACTATCTTCCAGCTTTCCTGTCAAAAATTTAAATGCAATGTCAACCATTATCTTCTGTCTTAATTTCTGTTCTTTTATTGTTCTCTCCCCTTAATGTTTTTTTTTCTGTCACACACAGTAACCCCTTGTGTCTTTGTGCTTTAAAAAATCATTAAGCACATACAAACACATACATTCTCTTTTAAATACTTTTGGAGAGGGTCATGATGAAGGTGACAATTCAGGCCAATATTCAGGAATTCAGTTTGGTTTGTCTATAAGAAAATTGTTGTGTTGGATTTTTTTTTTTTTAAGCTTTTAGGAAGTCTTTTAGGTTTGGGTGCACCTTAATTGATTTTTCTGTTGTGAGCAGTTGTATAGATTGGTACAGATTTTCAACTTTTAAATACTTATGTACGTATATTCATACTAATATATTTGTATGCACTTATATATCTATTTCTAAAGAATTTTTTTTTTAATCCACCAGTATATATATATATATATATATATATATATATATCCTACCTCACAATAAATGCAAGGTTTTATGTATATTTTTTAATATATATTAAATAACACTGTTTTTTCTTACACTATAGAGTATTTATGTTTTTGTATGCGATCGCTCACTCACTCATACATCTACCTATATTTATCCATTTGGTTATATATATATATATATATATACACACACACACTATCATAGAATATGACATTAAGATTACAAATGAAAGGAGTACTGACTATATAAATGAATTACTGACTATATATATATTAAGACAATATCAAGTGAAAGAAGACTAGTATCTGGTGAGTTACAGGCAAAAAAAAAAAAAATGATATAAACAGAGCTGTGAGAAAGATGAAACAGACTTTTTCAAAGTTTGTCTATTGTTTTATTGTTGTCATACTGAGAAGAGATTCTATTACAGATAGGCAGCAAGACATTTGAATTATTTGCAGTAAGTTGAAGATAACACTAAAGGTTATCAATGAAAACTTTTATCAAAGAGCTGTGCAGAGGAGGAGGAGGAGGAGGAAGGGAAGCCTGGCCTATATCAAGACAGACAAGACGTTGAGGAGAAACTTGAGAGAAAGCAAAAATTACAGGTGGTTTACAAAAGTGACACAGGGAAGAGATGCTTATTTGGAATATCAACACCTATATGGGTCAACTGACAACAGCTTCTTTTCCTTCCATATATGAAAATATATAATGAAGCATAGCTGAGATGTGGCATAAGGCTGGAAGTATGAACTACCAAGTGAAGATCAAACTCACTTCTTAGTTGTAAGTAGACAAGAGAGAGAATCCTTCTAACCATTGTACCAGGTCAAAATGGGCAATAGGAAAATATGTAGGAAAGTCGGTGGGGGGGGGGAAATGGTGGTTTTGGATTAGATTCTTTGTTATAAACCTAATCACAATTCAAACAAATCGATTCTTGACAATTTAGGTGGCTGGCCTTACTCTGAGGATAAAAGCAATTATCAAGCGAGATAAGCTTTTTTTCTTTTTTTTTATGTTAATGAGCCACACTAGTTTGTTGATTGATTTTCTATGGCTTGTCAACCCATGCAGGTTATTTAAAGCCAGAAAATATTTTTAGATTATAAGAATTTCATTTTTTTTGGAGGGGGGAGGGGGGTTAATAATGGTTTAATGATACAAGTTCTATGAATAAACCCTGGAGGAGAAGAAGTGAATTCATACCTTTCCCAAGGGTATTTGTGAGTAAGGGAAAATAAGGAACCTAGCAGGAATTTGAACTCGGCTCTCCATTTGCCAATTCCAAGACATTATCCATAATACCACGCACACATCCAAGCTTACAGCACCTGGTATTCCCAAGCGGTCACCCATCTAGGTACTGACCAGGATCAACATTGCTTAATTTCGATGATCATACATGAATCAGTGTTTTAGTGTCATGTGGCCATAAGCCTTCAGGGTTGTTGCATGGGGGTAAGATTAGGAGGTAAGAAGTGCAGTTTATGAGGATATGTAGGAAAGATAACAGTTAATCCACAACTTGTAGTGATTGGGAATGCATCCTTTCAAGAGTGATCCACAAAGTAAGTTCCATCCTCTTTGGATAATTTTATCAAATCTTGTGGAAGTGAGGAAATATGAGGGCAAAGAAAAATTTAAAAAATAGGATGGTTTAGGGTCAAAAGGAAGGAATAAGAATTGGGTCAGTTGTATCTGCTCCATGGCTTCAACATTAAAATTCAGTCCAGTATTAATTCTCTACCTTCTAATATCTCTTCCACAGGTGGGATGTGGCAAGCCTCTTGCTGCTCTATTGTTACTTTCGTAGAAAGTGCTCAGACAAACTACATTCCCGTCTCCCACCAATTCAAACCTTCACAGCAAGGACATACATACAATGCCACTTACATAGTAGCAAACCACCGACATTTCCTCCGTACTCCATTGGTGAGAAGTAAGTTCCATTCTAACAGCTTCTTCCTGCAAACCACTGCTCTGTGGAACTGACTCCCAAGAAGATATTTCCCGTCCTGGGTATGACGATAAACTACATCCGCGTCCAGGGTAAGACGATAAACTACGTCTAACAGCAAGGCCTCTGATCAAAAGGTTTTGAGGAGCGTGGAACCACCTCTTAATTGCGGGTGTTCCCGGGTCCACCGAGACTGAGCTAAAATGCATTATAAAAGTGTAAAAACATGCTTTAATACCAGAAATACTTTGTAAAAATTATTAACAGGAATAAATTTTTGAAGAAAAAGAAACTATTATCAGCAATACGTTTTTGGAAAAAAAAAATTACCAGCAATACATTTTTAAAAAAATTACCAGCTATACATTTTTGAAGAAAAAAATTTTTGACAAAAAAAAATATTGCCAGGAAAAAAAAAAAGAAAAAAAAAGTTGTCAGCTTTAAATGACCCATTGAGGTTGATATGCCGTAAAACAAAACAAAAACAAACCAAACCAAGTAGATGTTTCCTCGATCACTACAATCTCAACATGTTCAAGTCTGGGGTCAACCATTATCTTCCACTGCTAATGTAACCCTCTACCTCGAGTGGCCCCTGGGCCTTGTATAGGGTGAAGCTTACGGGTAATAAAAAAAAAAATAAAATAAATAATATAAATTGAATACCCCCCCACACACACACACACACATATATATATGAGCTAAACTGGGTTCACATTCTGCAAAGAGCAGGAAGTTTTTTTTTTCCTATGGCAGGATAATTTCTTGTGTCAAAAACAGCAAAAATAATGATCAATAAGAAAGTCTGTATAGCTTTAATTGTTTATGTCCCTATTAGTAACGGCCATTGTACTCACTTAGTTTTATCCGCTGAACAATAACATTGTGCCCCCTAAAAGACTAACTAGTAGATGTTTAATTGTAAGGCAGGGAAAGTTAAGGAAAATAGAAAAGACACTGGAAATTATTTGATTTTATTAAAAGTTAAAGATGGCGTTCACTCATCTAATTCTGGTAGTTTTTTGTTTTGTTTTTTTTTTATTAAAAAGGTGGCTTCAGGAGTTATACATTAAAAGGTTGTTTTGTAACCAGCAAATAGCAGGCAATGGGTCTTCCTCAAGGAGAGGAAGAACTGCTTCAAACATGGGTCCTAATACATACAGATTTAAACATCTTAAAACGTAAACCTGGGGGAATATGTTACATAAAAACAGAAAACATTTTGACTTTTAAAATTGAAAATCATTTGATTAAAAACAAAAAGGTATTAGTTATGCCATTTCAGAAAGACAAAGTTAGAATCAATACAAGCATTCTCATAAAAATGTTTTCCAATATAATGAATGAAAAAAAGTGAAAGAGATCAAAGTTAAATATAAAAACAATGGTCAAGGAACCATTATTATCTTTTCCAAACCACCATTCTGGATGGAAGAAAATGGATCAAAATCATTCAGTTAACATAGGATAATTAAAAACCATATTTGGTGTTTACCTTCAGCATCCTGACTCTAGAGTTTCATAGACACCCTCTTTATATATATATATATATATATATATATATATATATATGTGTGTGTGTGTGTGTGCATATATATTTTAAGACATTTTTTTATGTTTATATATTCTTTTTTATAGATACAAATATTTAAGTAAATGCTCTGTTTATAATAAATAGTATTAACAACATTTACCAGCCTGACCTTTGACAAAAAAGTGAATTTTGGAAAATAGTCAAAGTTTAAATATCAATATCAGTTATTTTTTCACCTACAAAGCCAAATTATATACCATTTTAAAGCACTTAGATAAGTTTAAAAGAAGATCTTTAATGGTTTAAAGGTGAAAAAATATAATTTGACCCTGACCGTAACCTTTAATTTCTCAATAACCTTATCTTCAATTTTTTTAAAATTTGACAACAAATTTGTCTCCTTTATGGCAGGATATGTACAAAATTGTGTGGTGGACTTTTGACTGTGGCCTGCATTATAAGGGTTTTATGCAGTTGTGCCAAATTCCAAATAACAGATTTTGTTACTTGCCATTAATGCTAACATTTTCATATCTTCCAATATGGTCAAGATATCTGTCTTTAGAAAGCTCTTTGAATGCTAATAAAAATTCACATCAGAACTATGATCATAAAAATCAATAGAATTTGTGGTTAAATGTTGACCAGTTTGGTGGAAAATAACCTTAATTTTGACATTGTTTACATTTTTATTATACAACAAATAGATTTTTATATGAAAAAGTAAGATAATGAAAATAAATATTTAAAAAGTGTCATGAATTAATGTTAAAGTAACATAATATGAAAATATGCAACAAATGATCTTAATAGTTAATAAATTTTTGTTCAAATGGTATACTAAATGCACAAAACAATGGAATTTATTTTTTTTTATATTTAAAAAATTGTTTTGATCTATAAAAGTGATACATTGAAATGTATATTTAAAAATATATTCTGAATATTTACAAAGAGATTAACAGGCAAAATTATTTTTCTTATTGGAATACACATTTAAATAGAAAATGAAAATTTGGATATGCAAATCATTTTTTCACTCAAATTTTTGTGAGAGTGAGAGGGAGTGTGAATGTGGGAGAGAGGGAAGGGGGTGCATGTGGGAGAGAGAGGAGGGAGAGTGTGTGCATGTGGGGAGAGAGAGAGAGAGAGAAAGACAGAGAGACAGACTACCTGAGTATCCTACTTTATCAATTATCAAATGAAGGGAAAAAACAAAAATGGAGGGAGATGAATTCAAATTGAAAAGGGTTAATATTGGAAATTAATACAATAAATTCACAATGTTTATTCTAACACAACAGCTTAAAACTCAGCCTAAAAGTTGCCTTTCAAAATATTCTGGTGTTGATTTTGAATTGTTTCCATTAGGCATTTTGATGATTTATCAGAATTGCAGATGAGTGTCTATTTGTTTCTTGTAATCATTTCCAATTCACAGCTGTATGGCAAAAACAAATAGAATTGAACTTCTTTTTAGTTTTATGATTAATTAAACAGAATAAAAGCAGCTAAACACAACTTAGGTTGTACTCATATCAACCCATAGAGATGTTCAGTCATACAAATACATGCACACATCCATGTGTTTTACATAACATACTTAAGGCTTTTTACACATCAGATCAAATTTATAGAGAACCAGGTTTCAGTATTTCGGAACATCCTGTAGTCATCATCAGAACACTGATTGTTATCTGTTACAATAGAGATAATAGTTTATTTGCTTTATACTTGGATTTTTATTTTTTTAAAGAGTTATAATTTAAACATATTGCATCAAATACAAGTGATGTTATGTGTAGAAAGGTTTGTAACAATATGCACCTAAGAGTCAAGATATTAAATTCTGAAATTTTTTTTTTTTTAAAAAGAACATTCAAAATGGGTTCCATATAGTGAGAGATATTGTATTTCGTATGGATTTTTTCTTTTTGAAAAGAACAGCTGAAAGTATTTTCAGTTCTTTTTTATGATAAATTGTCTATAGTATTTTAGTATTTTACTCTTAGGTATCATCTCCTAACCAGCTAATAATTAGTAAATGGTCATTTCAGCTTTTGCCAATTAGTCACTTTTCCTTTTTCATAATCAGTCATCCTTTTTTATTACATTCCTGGTTGAAGAATCTTCATTTATCTTAGACATTATTTCAGTTTATTCCATTTTTGATAGCTTTTCATTAATACAATGTTTTTCCAGTCTTTAAAATTAATTAAATTAAGGATTACAAACTGATTAATTGGTGAAATACTTATCTACTAATATTTAGAATGTGTCAGTCATATTGCTGGTTGGTGTGATATGTTGATTAGTAAGTGTTCAAACTGCAACACAGTAAATGAATGATATCTTCATCAAAGAGAAAAAAAAATCTCTTAAAGAATGATAGCAAGCATGAGAGTTTGTCAAGATCAAATCAAGAATGGTGGTGAGAACAATCAGAAGAAGACAAATTGTTAAAGTACTCAACATTCAATACAAAATTAGATCTTTCTTTCAAAGTGAGGAACATCATCATCTGTTCAGATTAGCCCATATTGGCTCTATATTCAAGCAGTTGTCGAGTGTAAACGCAGACATTGGACAGCTAAGAATTTGGTTTCAACTGTCTATATCTCAAGATTAAACAAGATAGATTTACAGTTGTGTAGTAAGGAACAACATGAAACTGGTTGTTTAAATCTTCTGGAGTTTGTGGAGAATATCAAATCAAGAGAATACATTCATTTTGTAGGTGAGATTTCCTAATATTAGCAACTGGTTATTGGAACAAAATCAACAATCTTTTCTGAAAATATACATTTTAATATCATTAAAGAAAGAAAAAGAAAAAAGAAAGGCTCAAGAGCTTTAGGTCAAACAACTGTTTTAAGTGACTGATTGCATTGTCTCCATTTCCCAATATACATTTTTATTTACACAATGTTTT